ACAGTGTGTCCAAAATATCATAGGTCATTTGAGTCTGGCCATTTGTACCGTGAGTGAAAACTCTTCATTGATTTGCTTGGTGATCCCTGCTTATTCGTTTTCTTGGTTATGCGCAGTATTCTCTATGTGAATCTTTTCTTGTAATCATTTGGGAATACATTCTTTTTTTTTCTCTTTCTCAAGAGCCAATTATTGATTACCCTCTTTTAGATTTTCCTAGCAAAGAAGTGTTAGTCTGGGACCTGCCAGAATTCCCAATTTTGGGGTATGCTACCTGGGATTTAATGGGAGTCAAACTTCAAAATATATAAAAGGCAGCAGGATACATAGCATTTCCCCAGTTAATGAAGTGTCTTATGTTGGATATATTTGGCCCTTCAGTGTTCTGAGATGTTAGTAATTTATATTTTTAGCTCTCCCCCTTTGAGGCAGAAATGAGTACCTGTCCCTCCAGGTTTCTCTCTTTTTCTAACTTGCAAGCATTTAGCTTTTGTGAGAGTAAGTTAATCCTTTGGCTTACTTCTGAATCTTTTGTTTCCCAATTCTTAGTCAGAAAGTCCTGGATGCCAATATATAAAATTTCAGAGCTCTAACTCTTCAGGAAGCGCACTAATAATACTGATACACCCACAAATGAGTCAGTGGACAGACTGATAAAACTAAGGGGCTTTAAAGGGAAAGTAAGCCTGTTATACACATCTTGGCAGTCAAATGATAGCCAGAGGAAAATCCAAGGTATTGAATATTCTTTATATATTTTTGTTGCCATTTTTCTTTTGTCCCAATGTTGAATGGAAAATAATTCAGCATCACTTTTCATTGCTGAATATATATATATATATATATATATGGATCTTTGATTATTCGGGTCTTCTCCTGCGTAAAATTGGAAGTAAATATATAGATATAGATATAGATTAGATATAGATATAGATATAGATATAGATATAGATATAGATATAGATATAGACATAGACATAGACATAGACATAGACATAGATATAGATATAGATATAGATATATATAAAACCCACCAATTGACTTTCTAGTTAAAGGTAGTCCTTGACAACAATTCATTTAGTGACCATTTAAAGTTATAAAAACACTGAAAAAAAAATGATTCATGACAATTTTTCACATGCATAACTGTTGTAGCATCCTCACGGTCACATGATCAGAATTTGGACACTTGACCACTGGCATATATTTATGATGGTAACAGTGTCCCAGGATCATGAGATGACCTTTGGGGACAGGTTTCACTTAACAACCGTGTTACTAACTTAAAAAATTGCAATGATTCATTTAACAAATGTGGCAAGAAAAGTCTCACAATGGGACAAAACTCACTGAACACATTTCCCATTTAGCAACCTAAATTTTGCGCTCAATTGCGGTCGTAAGTTGAGGACTACCCTGTATTGGTTTACTGAAGCCCGACAGCCCAGCCAGAAGGAAACACGAGAAAGTTTGTAAGCTATTGGGGCATGTTCCATTCTGCCTGCAATCCCAGTGATTTCATTTTGCTGCCAAAATCTCAGAAGGTCCTGTCAGGGGCTGGTTTCTGTACCAATTGGCAGACTTCTTCGTTGCCCGCCCTTTCTGCAGAGGAAAAAACGGAGAGGATCTCAGCTCATTCTAAGAACAGCTTTCTGCCTGGCTAAGCCCTTGATGGAGCCTCTGGGGAAAACACTCGCTTTTCCCACCCTGCCTCCTGCGTGTAAAAGAAAGCATCGTACCAAGTGGCTGGGGAGTGAACAAAGCTGAGAAGGGGAGGAAGGATAAGCTATTCTTGGTACCTTTATGAGAAAGCCTGGTGCAAGACACAGCAAGTACATTCCTGCCCTAACTCCGCCAGGCTCCCAGGGAACCGGTTGAGGCTGGGCCGGGTGGAAGCACAAGTGACGCCTTTGTCCTCACGGGCCCCAAAAAGCAGGCAGTGCTCTGCTTTTCAGGGCCTCTGAGAGGGGAATCCCTTGGCCTTCAGACCATGACCTCTCGCCCAAAAGGCAAGGCTGAGGCGTTGACCTTGTTTGGCGTGTAATTGCCCATCAGGGAGCCGCTTCTCTAAACACCGTGGTGCTTGGACTCCCTTTCGTTACAGGTGGTCCTTGACTCACAACCACAATTGAGCCCAACATTTGTGTTTGCTAAAGCGAGACAGTTGTTAAATGAATTTTGCCCTCATTTTACAACCTAATAAACTTGATAAATTCAACCCTGCTGCTGTTAAATACGGTGGTTAAGTGCATATGGCTTTCCCGTTGCCTTCGCTTGTCAAAAAATTGCCAAGGGTGATCTCGTGACCCTCGGGGATACAGCAATGGTCATAAATATGAGTCAGTTGCCAAGCGTCTGAATTTTGATCACCTGACCATTGGGATGCTGCAAGATAAGTATGAAAAAACGGTCATTAGTCACCTTTTTTCCCCAGTGCCATTTGAAGGGTTGCTAAATGAACTTCGAATGGTCACTAAATGAACAGTTCTAATTATAGAAAAGTAATAGAATAGAATAGAATTCTTTATTGGCCAAGTGTGATTGGACACGCAAGGAATTTGTCTTTGGTGCAAATGCTCTCAGTGTACATAAAAGAAAAGATACATTGGTCAAGAGTCAAGAATCATAAGGTAAGTTGAGGACTTCCTGTTATTTGAAAGTCTGAGGAGATTTCTGGTCCCTTGGCAGGACAGCGAGCCTGAATCCTTCCTTCAGGATGTCATGGATCACAAACTGGTCAGGTTTTAGTCTGCCCCCCCCCCTCTTGTCTCAAGCATCCGAAGTCTGGTGAGGCCTGTTTAGGAACGAAGAAGCGAGGGGCCTGTTTTGCTCTCGCCTCCTCTATGGGAGATTCCTCTTGTCTTTCACTCCTTTCAGACAGCCAACGCCGGGCCTGCGCCTGGAGCGGAGCAGGCAGACTTTGTGTGCCATGGAGCAGAAAAGAATAGGCTGTGACATTCCCGTAGCTTAGAGACCGTTAGGCCCTTTCAGAGTCCCAGCTCCATTTGAATGAAGCTCAGCCTCCAGCACTGCTTTGCCCTCATGGAGAGCGGGCGGGCGGGTGGGAAAAGCCGGATTATTTTTTTACCCATCGGCACTTGAGTTTGCACAGCAGAGTTCTCACGCTGCCCGGACAACAGGGAATTAGGACATTTTAGCTGGACAAGTGGAAAGTCCCTTATTGGTGAAGGAAAGGGGAAGAATCGCTTCTTCTCTAAATTCTGGAGGCCGGAGGAACAGATGAAACCACAGGTGAGAGGCCCACGCTGCTGGCCTTCATGAAGTGAGTATGAGAACATCCTGGAGGAGAAGGCAGCCAGGATGGAAAAAGGACCGCACTTCTCTGGCTGGGACCCTGGGGTAGGCTGGGCTCAATTCCGCCCCAGAGTGATTTTCCTCCTGGTCAATTTATACCCAGGCTAGAAAGAATAACATTTTAATGCTAAAGAGCATAGCGGTTGCTTGCGGTGTTTGTTTTGCAAAGTGTGTGTATCTGATGGGAATGGCATATTATCTACAGCAGGATTTTTCTAATATTGTTACAGGGAGGTTCATGTGGTGTTTGTGTGAGAAATATAGGCTGAGGTCTGTGGCTCATACAGAAAGGACGACTGATGTGTCTTTTCACCCATGCACCAACTCTCCAGTTCTCAGATTGTGTTTCCTTCTCATAACCTTTCCTTCCTTCCCTCCCTCTTTTCCTTCCT